ATGTGGTCTTCGCCATATGGATTGACATGAGGTACACTGCGGTCGTCGCCATATAGATTGACATGAGGTTAACTGTGGCCGTCGTCATATAGATTGACATGAGGTACACTGTGGCCGTCGCCATATAGATTGACATGAGGTACACTGTGGCCGTCGCCATATAGATTGACATGAGGTACACTGTGGCCGTCGCCATATAGATTGACATGAGGTACACTGTGGCCGTCGCCATATGGATTGACATGAGGTACACTGTGGTCGTCGCCATTTAGATTGACATGAGGTACAATGTGTTCTTCGCCATATAGATTGACATGAGGTACACTGCGGTCGTCGCCATATAGATTGACATGAGGTACACTGTGATCGTCGCCATTTAGATTGACATGAGGTACAATGTGGTCTTCGCCATATAGATTGACATAAGGTACACTGCGGTCGTCGCCATATAGATTGACATGAGGTAAACTGTGGCCGTCGTCATATAGATTGACATGAGGTACACTGTGGCCGTCGCCATATAGATTGACATGAGGTACACTGTGGCCGTCGCCATATAGATTGACATGAGGTACACTGTGGCCGTCGTCATATAGATTGGCATGAGGTACACTGTGGTCGTCGCAATTTAGATTAACATCAGGTACACTGTGGCCGTCGCCATATAGATTGACAGGAGGGGGGTCAATTTTTTCTTCGTTTATTTCTAACTTGAGCCTATTCTTTAAGTCTGTTAATCTTCTCGTTCTAATTATCGCAGCTTCATGTGTATCCTTTAAGTTTCTAATACTGTAAAATTGATATTTTGGGAGGAGTTATTTTTTTCCAATTTCGCAGTAAAGATAAAATCGTAAAAATATTTCTTCGTCTTAATCTGAATAATGGCAGATTTAAATCTGAGACAACAAAAAAAAACCGAATAGTTTGGACCCCCTTTATTCATGTGGACTTAAATGACTTACCAGATGCCGTATTGTCTCGAGTGAGTTTATTAACGGATGATTGCCTCTATTACCGTCCAATAAGAAACCAACAACATAACTTCACTATTCAGAACCATCTTTATAACTCGAGAAGTGAGCAACATCATGTGAAATGAGTTTTAATGCAACCCAATGTTTATCCTTAATGTAAAGAAAATACCAGTTTTCTATTACGAGCTTATAAGAACCGTATCCATATAAGAAGAACACCCCCCCCCCCCCGGGCTGTCTATATCTTACGATTTGAAAAGGACAACGTTGTTAACCAACAAGTTTAGAACGGATAAACAAAGCTATGTAAAACAGCCTCATGTACAAGGAGTTATCCGTAGAGTCCTTAAGACAAAACCAAGCCAATTAGAAATATCGACTTATTCTTATAATTTAACATTGACAAAACAGAGAGAAAAAGTTCAATGGTAAAGAGTTCATTTCATTAGTGGGATTATAAATCTAGAGATCATGTTTGCTTTACACTAATGCTTAACAAACTCGAAATACCTCTATTAAAACTTTTTTTCTATGACAACAATGAACTTCAAATAGTTGATTCGTACGTTTACCTCGGAATATTATAGCATTCTAATGGCAAATTTCTACAAACAGAGAAACGTCTAGCTCAGCAAGGATCCAAAGCCTTATCACCACTAATGAATACTCTGAAAAATGTTAACATATCAACTGATCAATGCTGTATTTTATTTGACAGTATGGTTGGTTCCGTTCTTAGTTATGCATCAGAAATATGGGGCTTTCATCGTGCTCGTCATATTGAATTAATTTATAACCGTTTTTGTAGATTTCTTGTCAAGGTTGGTATAAATGTACCTATTACTTTTCTATGTGGTGAACTTGGGCATTTGCCTATGTTCGTTTCAAGCGTATTAGAATTTTAAAATATTGGTTTCATATTATATTGAAAAAACCAAGTGTTGTTTACGATGTTTACATGCGTCTGTATAAAGATGTTAATAACGGTAAAACAAATTGGGTTTTTGTGTACGGGATTTATTATCTAATCTTGGCCTGAACTTTGTTTGGATTTCACAGGATGTAACTAATCATGTAGTTTTTGATATTATTAAAAAACGTATTACTGATAAATTTTAACAAGAGGGGTCAGCATCTTTATATGATTGTGAAAAACTTTGTAGAAGAATCAAGACAGATTTTTGTCTTGAAAATTATTTTAATTTCTTTTGTGATGTTAGATTACTTACAAAACTACGTAGTTGGACTCTTCAATTAAATATCAAAGTTGGTAGATATACCAATACTCAAGAGAATTACGATTATGTCTTTGCTTTAATATGAACGATGTTGAAGACGAATATCATTTTGTTTTAGTTTGTCCTGTATATAGACCTGTAAGGTTACATTATTTACCAAAATACTACTGTTCTTGGCCAAATATCTATAAGCTAGATCAATTGTTAAAAGCTGCCAACAAAACTCTGACTATAAAACTATGTAATTATCTAAAGGCAGCATGGAAAATGAGATGTCAATTATGTGTGTTGTTTTCTGCTGTTTATCAGTGTCATATTTGTAAAATATGTTTTGATTGCCATAGCATGTATATGCTTTTTGTAAATAAACTCATTCATTCATTCATTCATTTAAAACAAATCAAAATGTCGTTAATGTTCATAATGGTTGATGTTTGTTGCCAGTGATAACCATTTTAACTTCCGATTACTATAATTTAGAAATTTTAACGAGCATTTGTGATTGCGATTGTTGAAGTCTGAACTTCAACAATGGACAAAAATGCGCTTTCAGGAAATGCTGCATATAAATATTTAAAATAAGCGGATTTTTCCTTCGGGAAAAGTTTAATAAGACTTTTTATTTCTGTGAAACTCTGTCATCCCGTTGTAATTTACGCAATAATAAAAACCTCGTAAAAATTTCTAGTATTTTGGATAAGTTCAAAACAAACTTAAAATAAGAACTACACGTCATATATATATTGACTTTGAAATCAGGAAGTGTATCGTCATACGAACGTAACAACAAGTGTTACACTATAAAACTCTATACAAAAACTCTTACTTTAATAAGAGTACATAGGACTGGGTACGTCTAAACACTGCTCAGGACCTCCTGAGTGCACTCAGGACATAAAAAGTGCACTCAGGACTCTTTATAGTCATCGTATATGCACACAGGACTGGGACCAGCCAGAAGACGTCCGTGTCACGGCCGTAAAGGCTTTACGGGCTCACCTCTCATGATTAAGGCCGCGTTCACACTGCCCATATGAAACATGCTTTGTGTACACAAGTTGTATTTTTTAATTTTGGAAATAAAAACTTATCAATTGCTTGACGTACATTTAATTCTATATTCAAAAGTTAATCATTAGCTGCAAGTGTTTTCAAAATTAACGTGGCATTTATTTATAATTAACGTTCAAAAGTTCAATTACACTTGTTTCAAACTTGTTTAAGCTTCAGTGTGAACACGCTTTAAGTATTTTCATGCGCATACTCTCATTTCCCATACGCAAACAGTAGACTTCAGTCTTCGAACCCTATTCAGATTCAGATTTTATTCTAATTAATTTCTAAAAAAATCTATTGCAGTGGACGTAACTTTAAAAAATGTCACAATCAATTGTTCAAATAGTAAGCGAGATCATGAAACACATTTTTGAACTAAATACTCTAACGCTGAGTGTGAATAACTGTTGTTTCGTTGGTCGAGGAGTTTCAGAGGAATTTTTTGGGGACAACGACGGACGACGGACACCTAGTGATGACCATATAGCTCACAATGGTTCTTTACGTCAGATGAGCAAAAACTAGGCCTATTTATCAGTAAAATAAAGAAAAAGGGAAAATAAAATAAAAACAGCTCTGTGTGCTATATCTTGATCATGAAGCAGCTTCTGTCCCAATGTTTTTGAAATTACAGGAAGGTTTGGCAGAGTTTTTTTTTTTTTTTTTTTATAAATTTTAGCACAGACTGTACCAAAATGCTGATTGCATATAAATACTACGTTCATTTCTTACGCTAGATCGTGAATTAATATTTCGATTATATATAAGAAGCTTATATAACTTAAAGGCTTCCTGAAATTCCATGCCGGTTTGAAAAAAGGTAATTATTATTTTAAACCTACACTAGACTATAATTGTGAAGTCCAAAAAAAAAAACACAATTTATCTGTAAAATTCGGGAAAATGGAACAAGACTATTTTTAAAGTTTGCTACAGATCATAAAATAGGTTCTGTCAAAGTTTTGTGAAAAAAAATGCATGAAACTTTAACCCCAGACTGTATTTAAATGTTGACGACGCAGACGATGCCAATGATGACAGATTCTAGGACTTTATGTGTCGCCTTCGCTACTTTCATTTCAGTCGAGAAAAAAGTAAGGAAACGATCAAAGATAGATATTCTCTTAGTCACTATTTCATAAGAGTTTTATGATAGATTGTCTTTTTTAAATTGGGAAACTAACAGAACATCATATCCAATTGTATTACCTTTGTATGCTATACGTAGTAGTTGAATAAATAGTCGGGAAAGGTGAAAATAAAATAAGCTTTTCATGCATGGCTGATATGTTAACAAGCAATGTCAATTTTCGTACTTTACGATAATGGGTGAATATTAATGAATTTTTTTAAACGGAACAAAAAAGAAAATGTGTTAAATCAAAACTTAAAACTATAAAATAAATTTGATTATGCGGTATGGTTCATTCCGACAACAAGTTACCCTTCATGTTTTGTACGTTCGTCGCTTATCCGTACACTTTAATAAAAATAGTTTTTATTACCTAGATTTTTTAATGAAACCAATTATTTGAATATTTTTTATCAACCTTTACATTTTAAAGTTTTCTTCAGTCTAGTTATTTTAGATATATTTAAACATGGCTTGTATTTCTGCACTAAACGTCCTCTGTTACATTCGAGGCCAACTCATTGATAAAAACAACCTATTTTAAGCATTAAAGGTTAAACCATAGCTGAAAAAATATCTGTGGTGATTCTGACTAATAGATCCAAATACATAACATTTTATTTAACAAGTACAGTAAATAAGAAACACACATCGTGTTTAACAGAGACCTTAAATGGTCATAGAAGATACATTTAGCCCTTCGTTCCGTTTCGACAGTTTACCATGTTTAATCATTTGAGAATTGTCGTCTTAATTTGTTTGAATACAGTTTATGTCTTCTTTATTGAAACAATCATCATTACTTCGTTTTTTTACAAATAAAGGTAGATTGTCAACAGCTCTGGGTACTGGGATATAGTACAATTCTGCGTCTTTATTCTCAAGCTTCCAGTCGCAACTTTTGCACACTTCCAAAACAAAAAGTTTTAATACTAATTTGGCAAAATCTTTTCCTATACAAGTTCTTGGACCACCACCGAAAGTGGCATAATTATATCGGGTTTCTAAATTATCTGGTGTTATCCTGTCGAAATTGGGCAGGTCATCCCATCGATCTGGTTTGAATACGTCTGAATTCGTATAAAGTGGTGACGTATGGTGAGTATCCCGTATACCATAGGCAACAGTCCAACCTTTCGGTATTTTATAACCCTGAAAATATAATTAAACATCATTTAAATTCAATTATGTAATAAATAATTATATATCTATATGACGGATGTGGCAATAGACACAGCTAATCCGTAGTCGTCCAAATTCTATTCATATACCTGATCTACAGTGTTATGTAATGTAGACAGACAAATATTTCACATGCCGATATAAAGAGAATCAAGTTTAACCGATTTTTTATTTTTTTAACTTGACTACTTGAAAAATAGTAAACATGTGTAACAAACGATCCGGAACTGATAATTGTTGTGGGTGTAATAAAACAGAAATTAAATCCCAACCTCTTGTGCGTATTAAAATTGAAAATATTTAAGAATCGATCACAAAGTTACATAATGCAGTGTAACTCTTCTAGCTGCTTTACATTATAAATATTGTGTGCAATGCATAGTCTCTCAAAATGGTAACTGTAAGCCGGTTTTAAATGATAGTGGATAGTATAAAGTAAGCCCCATAATATTACATTCGTTTAAAACTATTAAATACCCACAAAATATTTAACATAATAAATTCTTTTAATAAATTTGAATATACATTTTTGCTCTCTTTTCTGCTTTTTGCTCAGTATAAATTTCAATAATAGCAAGCGAATGTTGATTTAGTGATCGCAGTTTCGAGCCAGCTTTAGACATATCATATTTGGTCACAGGTTCGGAAATACGCCAACATTTTGTTAAAACCTTAAAGTTCACATATGAATCTCACAGTGTGAATTTTATTTTAAGATTGATGATGATGATTGATGGCTGCTTAACGTCCAGCGGCAAATTAATATGCATATTCAGGACGAGAACATGTTAATGTAATATGAATATCAACCCTGCTTTGTACTAGACCGACACGCTGAGCTAGTTCACAAGGTAACAGTCTGTAGGAAGACATGCTACCTTACCCGGACACATTATTCTGACTCCAAGCCGACCAGTCTTTGCTCTTACTACTTAACGCCGTATGCTTAGCAGAGAATCAGCAAATACCAATTTTAAAGTCTTTGGTTTGACCCGGCCGGGGTTCGAACCCACGACCTCCCTCACTCGAAATGAAAACGCTACCACAAGATTAAAGGACTTAAGAAAATAGGCATAGTGTGAAATTAAGTCAGGGGAAATTGGTCCTCATTCTTTAACGGCCTTGAATGAAAAACTGTCGTAACTCACGAGTAACCGAAGGAGATTACAATATCAAATAATATAACTTGTACCTCTAGTTGGAATGATTTAAGCACCTTCCTATATCCTGCTCCAACAGGGGGTGTCATGCGTAGAACCTCTTTGGTGACATTGTACGCATATTTGTATTTTGGAAGATCATTTAAAGTCAGAATATCAAGATCATCTGATCCTATTTCCTCTCGTACTTTATGAATGACATTTGGATATTTGCCAAGAAACATTAGACAGGAACACATTGCACTGGAAGTCGTATCATGGCTGGCGAACATCAGTTCAACAATTGACTCGCATGTTTTGAATCGACAGTTTTCTTCTTCTTCTCGGAGAAGGAAATCTAAAGCACTTACACTCTTTCTATCGTCTACGGGAATGTTTTCTAATTTTTGTATATTTTCTGCAATTCTTTGGATTAATCGCTTTTTTGCTTTGAGTGCCTAAAAAAGGAAATGTATCTAAATTATTTTTATGTTTTTTTCTTCAAACAGCTTTAATAACTTTGATTTAAGTATAAACAACAGATATATAGTATTGTTCATTTTGCATCTTTTATACGTGTGACAACCTTTGCGACATGTTAAACGGAAAATGTTTGTGGCAATATTCCTTTCACCACATGTGTCGATTAGAAAAAAAACAATTGAAGGAAATATGAAAACGCTAAATAACAGCCATGGCAACAGAAATCTATCTTAGAGACTGTGAAAATAAGACAACGAGAAAACTTCCCATCGTGTGTCGTGGTGTAGCATAGTAGTCTTTAAAATATTAAATAACGGGGTGACTGGAAATTCAATGAAAGGAGATGTAGACAATGCGCCAATGAGGTGACCCGACAAATATTCTAATATTTCAAATTAATCAAGTTATCAAAGGAACTTTGTTTATTATTGATGTTTTCTTCTAAATAATTGCTTAAAAAAGCTTATATCTTACAAAAAAGTGAAGCTACCTAGCATTCACCTGAGCGGCGGTACTCCTTTAAGTGCATTGGATTCCGTTACTTACACATTTAAACAACTCATCGACTACTCAATAAATTATATCTTAAATCTGTGAAGTTATCAACAAACGTCGGCAGTTGACAAATTATATAATAAAAAAAACAGGTTATCGCAATATAATAGCATGTATGTATATATAAGATCTCACAAAACATGTTTAACCCTGCCGCATTTTTGCGCCTGTCCCAAGTCAGGAGCCTCTAGCCTTTGTTAGTCTTGTATGATTTTTAATTTTAGTTCATTTATATGTTTTGGAGTTTAGTATAACGTCCATTATCACTGAACTAGTACACATTTTTGTTTAGGGGCCAGCTGAAGCACGCCTCCGTGTGCAGGATTTTCTCGCTGTGTTGAAGATCCATTGGTGGCCTTGGGCTGTTTTCTGCTCTTTGGTCGGGTTGTTGTCTCTTTGACACATTCCCCATTTCCATTCTCATTTTTATAAGAGTCTATATATCATAATATATACAAAGAGACATGTTCCTGTCTATACTATTCATCGTAAGGAATCATGATGCTGTTGTATACCGAAATTCATGACCTTGGAAGCAAACACATTGTTGGAACGTCTGAGTGTTGTTCATCACATCTGTCGAAAACTTGAAGAATTGTAATACGTCCGGTGCACTATTTTCAGTAAATAAACAGTAACAATACGAGGTCACCCTTCAGAAATATAGTGCGGATGATGAGAATCGATAGCTAGATAATTATAGAACTAGTTCTATAACAATACTAAACACAAATATAACTGCAGCGTGTTAATTATTGTCACCGTGGGGTGTTGATCAAAATGAAACATTACACAGAAACGTCAGGAAAAAATGTAACAATAGAAAACTGTATGTGTTGTTACAACCCATTTGTTGTTCATGTTGTTATCCTAAATTTTGTAATAACTTTATATCGACGAAAATCAGGATTGAATCACCCTTCCCAAGGCGGAACCGTCCTAGAATCACCCCTTTAAAAAATAGACCTAATCCTAAAATACGATTAAACGGTTTATTCCTCCTATTCCCTATATTTTAAAATCTGGTATGTTATTTGTAAAAATCCATGTAGGAATGGGAGGAATACTTAGATAAACACGGGTTTAAATCGGATTAGGTTGTAAAAACATAAAGCTAATTAACTTCAGGTAAATATCCATAAAACCTCTTGAGTTTTCTTCAATGTCCAATTTGAAAATATCAATAGTAGAAAATGTAAAAAAAATGTTCTAACAAATGCATGTTCTTGTCTCATTGAAATTGTCCTGTATCCTTATTTTGTTTTATTCTATTTTTCTATTTTTTCAAAATTGTTGTGTTTATTTTCTCGTGTCACGAATGAAAAGTTTTCGTCATTGAGTTAATCCATCAAAAAAACAAATCAAAATAGATTGTTACAAAGTCCCAAAAGATAGAGTTTACTAACACAATGATGTAAGCTGTATTTAAGCACCATATTATACTTTTAGGACTACTAGCTGAGTAACAATGAAAAATATCATCCTTATACATGAGAGAAAAATATCAAAACCACTATAGGCAGTATAATATGTTTAGATATGAGAATTTATCATAAATCAGTCCTTCTAAAGTATGAATTTAAGTTCTACCTGAGCATGTTACATGTACATGAACCATTAGAAAATTAACAAAATGATGAATATTTTTAAATACATTTTTTTACATTTAAAATAATATTTTTAAATTATTAGAATTTATCACAAACCCAGTCCATATAAAATCATTGTGATCTGGAACTAATACATGAATTGGTCCTATTCATAGGTCATAGGTGCAGCATTTGGGTACGGTGGACTACTACAGAAGTATCTTACTTTGAGTGATATGAAGTGTAGTTTAAATTTGGCTTTGCCTATTCAACCTTATACTTTTATAGCATTTATCCCAGCATCAAGGCTATCGTTTATTAAGATTACGGTTCAAATTTCAAACTATATATGTGTAATATGTATAATTCAATTTGTTAAGCCTTTTCTCCCTCATTACTTTTTAAAGTTAAATATTTGGAATTTCCTTTTATATGAATTTAAAGTACATTTCTATATCTAATTTTCTATTTTATTATCAGTAATGCATCCATTGTTTTTATCTTAATATTCATAATTCTTCATAAATACATAAAAAGGGGGGCACCAAAAAGGGGGTATTTTTTGCACTTATTTACCTGAACATGAATTGCTTAAAACAACAAATTGCCTTATAACAACTGCTGTTGAACTTTGATTGTATATTATATCTTTATTCTCATAAACCAAAATCCATGGTACAGAGATATTATAAACATTAATAATATAACATATAGTCAGAATTAATACAAATGTATGATCTACAACCAGAAAAAAGAAATTCCAGCTTATATAAAAGTTATTAAACAATGTTTCCCCTAAGAGTCCAATGAATAGATGGAATATGCATTTTTAAAATGGTTTATTCAACCTATGCCAACATTTTGAAATTTAGGTATAAAATTGTATGAAAAAAATGTTGGCATAGGTTGGCAAAATTTAGCAATATTGTACGACTTGTAGCTTAAAAAGTAGCGCGGTGAATGATACTGAATGAAAGAGCTCTGTCAGAGCTCTTTCATTCAGTATCATTCACCGCGCAGTCTGTCACAACTAGTAAAAGCCAATATATATATAAAAGTTTCTTTATTATTTTTACGTAAAAATTATATATATATATATATATATATATATATACACAAGTCTAAATTGAAAACAACGTTTAAACCTATGATTGCGTTGGATAAAAACCGCAAATTTTATACGTGTGCATGCAATAACAAATTTATAGAGGGGTCTAAATACAGCACAAACAACATATAATATATATATAATTTATACCTAAAAATAATAAAGCAACTTTTCAAAAATGAAATTTTAATTTAAATATAGAACACGAACCAATGGCAAAGGAAGATAGGCGCTGGAAAATAAGTCCAACGATGAGAGAGCAGAGACATGTATACATGTGTATGTATGTCTCTGGTGATAGCAACCAAAGTTTTAAAGCTCTCTATTGTCTTGGCACACACGAGATTGTCTGGTATTCTATTCCAATCGGAAACTGTTATTACAAAGAATGACTATTTATATTGGTCAGATTTACTAGATGGAATTTTGAAACACCGGCTGTTGTTTTAGACAAATTTGTCTCTAACAATGTTTGTTGTTTTATAGTCACTAAATTGTTTGGATCTTATTTGACGTTTTGGTCTCTCCTTAACTAATACTAAATCTAGCGGGATAGCTGGTACCAACTCCCTTGCCATCTTTATTTTATGTTTTTTTTTGTAATTTTTTTATTTTTTTATTTATATATTTTGTTTTAATTTCATATTTAGAACAACAAAATTTTGCAAGTATTTTACCATACAGAAGTGTTCTTTTGTATTATTTTTGTTTATATTTTTCAAATTACATATTTACTACAACATAATATTGCATAGTATTTAACTGATGTTTATAATTGTATTAAGGATTAATTTTTAAAGCTTTAAAATACTGACTGTATTTCACCAGTAATTGATTATTAATTGTTATAACAACACCTATTGTTTGTAGGCATAGATTGAATATATATTTTTCAAATGGAGGCATAGGTTGAAGACACCTTTAAAATGTAGGAATATCAGGAAGACACCCGATTAAACCTCTGTTTAAACATTATTGATACCATGTCACTATTATCCCCAATTTAGCAATATATACATTATGACTTGGCAAGTCTATTCACATCGGTTTTTCATTTCACCCAGTAAATTACAAAACATTATACAAGAGAAAATTACAACAGTTTTATAATCAATGATAATATTACGTAATCACATTACACACTTATAGATAAACTCTAGTCTTTATATAAAAAAAATCTTTGTCTATGGTAAAAATTCAGACGTCGTTGGAAAGAAAAATAAGTCAATGTGTCGTTTTGCTCGTAAATTATTGTCTTATATCTTCATTTGAATAGTTTTACATGTTTTGAAAATCATGAAGGATTTGAAGATGGTAACACCCATGACATACGACACTCAGATTATATCAAAATAAAGACTATTAGATATAAGCGACAGAGTTTCAAAACAAAGGTTGAGGAGCAATTTAGTCTGGAAGAACGTGCTTTATTTATTAGTTGTAATTGGCTTTGAACTAGATTTCAGTAACAGCGAGTACTCTTGTGTCCATTGTTTTTATGTTAGTTGTTTTTTATCCTCGTACCGATCTTTTGAGTTAAGCCAATTGAAACAGATTTTTACAGTTTGTTTACTTATGGCGAGCTGTTACACCACTATCCCACTGGCGTTCACAAACATACTTAATTCCGCCACATTCTTTATGTGCCTGTTCTAAGTCAGGCGCTTTCAGTTCGTCGCTCGTGTAAGCACGAAACACACGATTTGCTTTTAATCAGATTGGATGAAATAATTTTACACATAGCTATAGAAATCAAAAAGTTAATCAGCGCTATGCAGTGTAGAAAATTTGATACAATATTGTCCGTTAAACAAGTTGGCACATCTGGGGTGTAGAAATTAAACTCCACGCCATCGAAGAAAAAACATTTTCAATTGTCAAATGTCCACTACCCCATCAAGAATTACCTTTTTTGGGGTCTGTCGTTTTCTGAACACAGAACAAGAATATAAAAAATAATCAGTTTAATGGGTGTGCGATCATTTAAAAACCTGGGTAATTGTACTATAAGCATTCTGATGTTCTTACCTTGTAAAGTCCAAACCCAGGCAATTCAATCGGCAAAGAAAACATGTTATGAACCATTGATTGGTAAATTGAACTAAGTTCGTTCCCCATTTCATCATCACAGTCAAAACCGGCCAAGCATTTTGCTGCTATGATAAAAGCTAGATTTCTACATTGCGGGTATCCAAGAATGTTTCCCTTTTTACACCATTCATCTATGAAATGTTTTATTGTTTTTCTAATTATTGGTATATGTTGATTTAATGCATCTGGTAGAAATAGATTTATAAGCAATCTTTTCCTTTCTTTGTGCTCGTGAATATCGTCCATCATAGACAGTGCATAAGGACCGAGTACTTTCCGAATGCTCGGTGGCCATTGTGATGACACATAAGAGTTCTCTGACATTAGAATTTTGCGGAGATTGTGTGCCCCCGAAACACGTATAGTTGGTCTTCCAAGCACATGTGTCCTATATACGTTACCATATTTATTTTGACGTGATTTGTAGAACTTGTCGTTCTGAAAATGAAAAAAAAAAACATTTTACTGTATGTCAATACAGAACATGTTTATTGTTTTGCACCAATCATGTACAATTGTTTTTAATTTAACAGCAAAAAAAAAAACATGAAGCAACTGGATGACACATAAAATGACTTGTAGATTTAAATTTAATTGTTTTAAAATTTTTCTGTTAACAGTTTTTTTTTATCCAATAAAATCGTTTTCAAGATAATAAACCCATAAAAAGGGCTAAAGTTCATGAAAATTTCTTTACATACAATAACCTCAATACCGTATTGGCAAAAGTAGCTCATTTTGATTACTGTCTACGTGAATAAAATGTAACCAATTAATACGCAATGTTAAACAACATTTATAAACAATGGTAATATACCACTCTGTTAAAATACATTGACTTGTAAGAATATTTGAATGCAAAATGCAGTTGTTGAATTTGTTTTATCACAGGGTAGTGAAATCAAACTTTTCGACCACTAAAAGAAAAATTGATTTGAATAATTCTGTATTTGCTTAGGAACAATACTATTTTTCCGAAGATGAATGTATAGTATTGTATTGGTCTGGTATTGTATGGTTGTTTGCTGTGTTATCATGCATTTCACAATGGGATATATTTTTCAATTCATTTTCATACCATCAAAGCGAAAAGACGAAAAAACGAAACGCGAAAAGGCTAAAACGGATAAAGTTGAAAAACGCAAGACAAAAACCACACATTTTCTTTCTTTAACTGTCTGAATTTAACGCTTTCATGCAGTTTTGATTATTTGTAATGTTCGTGGACGTCTTTTAGTTTTAATCATATGTAATGTTCGTGGACTGCAGTCTTTTAGTTTAAACTATATGCAATGTTCGTGGACTGCAGTCTTTTAGTTTTAATTATATGCAATGTTCGTGGACTGTAGTCTTTTAGTTTTAATTATATGTAATGTTCGTGGACTGCAGTCCTAGTTTTAATCATGTGTAATGTTCGTGGACTGTAGTCTTTTAGTTTTAATTAATGTAATGTTCGTGGAATTGTAGTCTTTAAGTTTTAATTATATGAAATTTTCGTGAACTGTAGTCTTTTAGTTGTAATCATATGTAATGTTCGTGGACTGAAGTCTTTTAGTTTTAATTATATGTAATGTTCGTGGACTGTAGTCTTTTCGTCTTTTTCTTGTGGTCCTGGTGTCGATGTCTACCTTTTGCTTCATAATATCAATAGTCCCATCCCCTTTTATAATGTATTTACTTCGCTTATATTAATTTTTCAAGCCTTTTTAGAATTTATGAATGGCATTAATGCTAGGAATAATCTGTTTTATGAGAAATATTTTATCTTAATACCAAACATTTCATGAGCATGACCTTACATTTCCAATAGACTATTTCTCACTTACACGATCAACATGACCTTACAATTCCAGTATAAGGTTTCTCACTTGCACGATTAGCATGACCTAACAATCCCAGTAGACTATTTCTCACTTGCACGATTAGCATGACCTAACAATTCCAGAAGACTATTTCTCACTTGCACGATTAGCATGACCTTACAATTCCAGTAGACTATTTCTCACTTACACGATCAACATGACCTTACAATTCCAATAGACTATTTCTCACTTACACGATCAGCATGAACTTACAATTCCAGTAGAAGGTTTCTCACTTACACGATCAACATGACCTTACAATCCCAGTAGAAGATTTCTCACTTGCACAATCAGCATGAACTTACAATTCCAGTAGAAGATTCCTCAATAACACGATCAGCACGACCTTACAATTCCAGTAGAAGGTTTCTCACTTACACGATCAGCATGACCTTACAATTCCAGTAGAAGGTTTCTCACTTACACGATCAGCATGAACTTACAATTCCAGTAGAAGGTTTCTCACTTACACGATCAGCATGAACTTACAATTCCAGTAGAAGGTTTCTAACTTACACGATCAACACGACCTTACAATTCCAGTAGAAGGTTTCTCACTTACACGATCAGCATGAACTTACAATTCCAGTAGAAGGTTTCTCACTTACACGATCAGCATGAACTTACAATTCCAGTAGAAGGTTTCTCACTTACACGATCAACATGACCTTACAATCCCAGTAGAAGATTTCTCACTTACACGATCAGCATGAACTTACAATTCCAGTAGAAGGTTTCTCACTTGCACGATCAACATGACCTAACAATTCCAGTCGAAGATTTCTCACTTGCACAATCAGCATGACCTTACAGTTCCAGCAGACTACTTCTCACTTGCACGATCTTCATTTTAAATCTCAAGCGTTTCAATTCTACCCACTTTAATATAAATTTCTATGAATTGATAAATCCATTAAATATTAATCTTAAAAAAGAAATATTAATTCTCAGTTTTGTTGACTTCTTTACATTGCTCATGTGTATAGTTAATATCTATTATTATATGAAGAATGAAGATGAAACAGAAAGGTTATATTTTACTATTTATTGATAAATACTCAACTTTAAATATTTAATCCATTGCAGGCGTAAGATTATCTTTATAAAATGTTAAATTTTAACGATGTCATTTAGAGTGATTTAGTAACAAATATGATCTCAATAAAAAAGCAAGCATCTTGACGTCAGTCACAGAAAGATGTTCTTAATCATTTTTGTCTTCCTCTTAAATTATGAGTTGTGGCCTCGTTAAACAAACTATTTGTATATGCCGGCTTTTTAATTTGACTAAACTAAGTGGACTAAATGAATGGAACCATTTAGAAATTCAACTACAGTTCTCGTAAAATACGATATAAAAATAAGAAGATGTGGAATGATTGCCAAGAAGACAACTCCCCACCAGAGACCAAATAACGTAGAAGTTAGCAATGTTTAATTTCAACGGCTCGTAAATGACGTCCGAGTCAATAAGAACAACCAGCATGGTTTCATAATACAGAATCATTCCTAAATGGGTCCATTCGACCGAGACGACTGTAAATCTGACATCCAAGTTCCCATTTGAAAATCAAATACTAACAAACGAACAAACAAAATGAAATAGGGAATAAACCCTCCTTTTTCCTTTTTGTCGAGTGGGACTATCTGTTCACCAGTTAAGTCAATATTCTGAGCTAAAAAATATGCGGGATTAATATCCATTCCAGTTTATTTTCTTATCAGCCTCCCATCTCATTGATTGTGAGATGTCGTCCTTAAATGACCTCTAATATCCGGTACTGGCCATACAAGTCATGCGACAATAAGACAGACAAATGAGGTTTATAATATTTCTTTTCGTATCTTACCTTTGCACGTTTTATATAATACGTTTTCGCAAGCGATAGGAGGCAAATATATAAATAAGCATTTGAGGTATCTTTTATATGCAGAAGACATGATCTTGCGGTGCCTTTGAGATAAACCACAATTTGCACAAAAAATTCGTAAGGGGTTCCGCAGAACCCTGTGTCTCGTCTGCGATTGGTGCTCTCAGTGTAAAAGACTTAAAAAGTGAGTCCAGTAAAATACAGAATTAAAAAAAAAAATCAAACTTTTTCTTTAGATGCTATTTCTTGGTCTTGAAGATTAGCTTCTGTCCAAGTTTCATAACAATCCATGAAGGTTAACAAATTTATCATGTCAAAACAATTTATTCCAGACTGTCTGTAAATGCTAACTGTAAAAAACGAAGTCCATCTATCAGAAAAATACTAAAAATGAAAAAAATATATTTTCAAAGGTTTGCTTCAGACATTACCTCTTAATCATTAAAAAGCTTCTGCCAAAGTTTCAAAAAACTCTAGGAAGGTTTGACAAAGTAATTGATGTGTAACAAACTTTAATCCAAGACTGTATCTACTTGTTAACTGTAAAAAAAAACTTAGGTAAAATACGGAAAAATAAATTTTCAAAATTTTGCTCTGTATACTGTCTTCGGTAATAAACAAGATTCTGTCCAAATTTAATAAAATTCCATGTAGGTTTGACAAATTTATTGATGTCTAAAAAAAACTTTAACCTCACTCTAAATCTGAATGTTAACTATAAAAGAATAATAATTTCGCAGGCTCGACAAAAAAGATTAAATGAACTAAGTAGATTTGTAGTCTGTTGAGGACGGTTCCCGCTGGCTTTTTTCAAGGTTATGCATTGAACATTTTGAGTATTTATTTACTTCTTGTTTAATTTGCATACAGTTCAACTGATATGAAAAATCAATAGAAATCTTTTTCAGGCCAAAAATATATAATTTATATCTAAATAACATCCTCACAGACCTATCTTAATTTTACCACAATTTTTAGTTCATTCGTAAAACTATTGTTAATTTGAATTTCAGCAGCGAACATAATAATATTGGTTTTAACATAAGCTATTGCTCCCAAATACCATTTTTTTAACTTTTTTGAGAATTCAACGGTTAACTCAAACTATGGAAACTTTCTTTCTTACATGTCTAAAGGACATACCTTTAACATTTATATCAATGGGATTTTGAAGTTTGCTCCCCGAATGTCGCATATCCATCTAAGGGGACGACACCATTTGATATTCTTAGGGTGGGGTGGAGTTTGGGAAGGGCAGGAGGATTTTCCCGGATTGAATATTCATTTTCATTTGTTGCTACGAATGCTCATTTTTTGGTTGCGCGAAAAATTATTTTCATTTTTGTACATAATTGTTTTCTGCTTTTGTGCTGCAGAATATTGATTTTCAAACTGTCTTGTGCAAAGTTATTTGCTTTATTTTCTTACCAGGCCAAGTTAATCATTTTTAAAAAATCCTCCTGTCCTAGACAGAACGTGTGGATAAGACAAATAGCCGCTTCCAAATCGATAAATCCTATTTCTTCGCTGCAAATTCCTCATCTTCAGTCGCATTGACCTTTCCTTCTTAAGTGACAATCTCTTTACATTTCTTTGTTTAATGACTTGTAAACATAAGTATTAACCTTACAAGTAATTCCAATGACCCAACTATTTCGTCCATACTTTTGCAGTGTGTGATTTTCCGCGCGAAATGCACACGTCGTTAAGGGTCGTGTTTTACTTAAATGTAATGTAATAATGGTCAGACCGGTTCTTTTTATATATCAGTGTAAACGCACTAGATTTAATAAGATTGAGATCGATCTTTCTTGTGCAAATGTTAACACGAACTGGTCTTTTTAAGATCGATTCAAATGACGATCGGTTCAATTTCGTGAGAGTGAAAACAGGAGCAGATCAAGGATTTTTGAAAGGTTGGCCTTAATTCCCGATAATTGAAAATATACTATCGAGCGGAGCGAGACGAAAAAAAAATGGACGATTTTAGAATAAAAATTCATATATATCAGGAAATTCACGAGATTTTTTATGTTATTGGCGATCAAAGGGGCGTACGGCCTCTGCGCCCCCTAGATCTGCCACTGGTAAACGGGGTCTTAGTGACTTATATATGTCTTACCTTTCTGATGAATTCAATAGTTTCTCCAATGAATGGATATCCTAGTGTTCCTGGTGGAATCGGCAGATGACTGAGTTCATTGTCCGTTACGCACCACAGGGTAATGTAATAATTCCAACAATACTTAATCAGCACATGGACTACAATACAGCAACCAACAAGAACCAGACCCCAACACAACACACAGTAACAGAAGATATACATAGACAAACTGTATATAAAATCAATAAGCATCTTACAACAAGCTCGGTGTGCTGATAGATAATATTTCCATTTTAAGCGTAAAATATTTTATATACGAATCAATATTTCCCCAGAGGACCGCCTACAAACAATCCTTATGACACATTTAACTTTCCAAGTTCATCCTCTGTAGGTCATTTCACCCTAAAAATAAATTTGTAAGACCGACACTGTTTGTAGCCTGTATACACGATCATATAGTGTTCTTGACCTTAAATATGTATTTCCATTTAAATATTGTATAATTGTTCGTAATGTGTTAGTATGTATAAGCTCTTTTATTGTGTGTGTTAAACAAATGTTTTAATCTTCAACCACCGTTAAATAGGGTAAACCAGGTAGAAGATGTTAAACAAATGTGTGAATGAATCGTAGTATACACGAACGAGGTTAATCAAGTGCAACAGTGCTATTTTTATACGCAAACAAACACAGCACAATAATAATAAAAATATCATCACCCTGTACACCAGATACACGTGAATCCTGACGTTTACGCGGTCGACTTTAATAAACTTTGAACAACTGAGAACAGCTGTCCTCAGTAAATTTTTTAATGCTATAAATAGAATAGTTTGCTTAAACATATTTTATTTAATGACTCAGAGCAAGATTTTTTTTATATTTACATGCACATGTTGAAAAGCTGATATTTGTTTTGTTAAAATATACTTTTTCACGTTTTGGTCTTTTAGAAAATGTTGTTTGTGCTGTATTTAGACCCCTCTACCAAGAAATTTGTTTTGCATGCACACGTATAAAAATTGCGGTTTTTATCCAACGCAATCATAGGTTTGAACGTTGTTTTCAATTTAAAGTTGTTTATATATATATATATATATAAGTACGTCTGAACCAGTGACGACTCTACAACAGATCTAACATCGTTGGGCTGTTGTTTAGACGAATTATATATATATATAAAATGTCTGAATAATAGCCAACGATAAATCTTACGGGGCGATGGATCATATAATTTATGATACAGTACACTACAAAATATAATATATAATAAGCAAGTCTAAAATGGTATGTAACATCACCAAAATCAAAGTACTGAAGTACTGAACATCGGATGACCGCAAGTTGTGGTGGATAGTCACAGGCACTTGTCTCAGAAAAAATAAATTATATCTATACCTGAAAGTTATGTTAAGGTACATAGATTTATATTTTTTTCTGAGACAAGTTCCTGTGTGGATGATGAATAAATGACAGAGAATTCAACCTCACCGTAATAATTATTATATTGTAGTGATATAATCATGGGACAATAATTTGTTATCATTATAATCTGGTTTGTTATTAAATATACTATATTAATATTTGAAACATTTTTCATATTATTTATTTATGTTCTTAACAAATATTTTCATGAGTATTCATTGAAGAAATGAATTTATAACAAGCGATAAGGAATATTATTTTGCACTCGATAATATCCGCGTATTTATACGAAATACGTTCGAACGGTTATCAGTCAAAAAAACGCAAGTCACGTGGGTAAATGTCTGCGGCAACATAACACCGGAATGCCCTCAAGGTCATCCGCTGTAAAAAAAGTAAAATCATGAACAAATGTTAAATATATCGGATAACTAATATCCTTCATCAGTAAGATGTCAAATAATTCTTACTAATATCCTTCATCAGTAAGATGTCAAATGATTCTTATCTAGATAAGAATCATTTGACATCTTACTGATTATCTAGATAAGAATCATTTGACATCTTACTGATGAAGGATGTTAGTTATCCGAAATATTTAACATTTGTTCATGATTTTACTTTTTTTTTGGTGATGTTGTACCCTTTTAGACTTGCTTATATATACTAGTCAACAAAAGAAACGATACAAGGTAATGTATTTTCTATATATAATGAAATTGGATACACTATACCAAGGTAAATAATTGCCCAATTGGTCTAAAATTTACAGAGTATTATTTTCTTATCATTACCATTGATTTAAGACAAATACGCGATTTATTTTGCAATTTTTGTTATTTCAAAAATCGAATTTTCACCCAAAAATTCAAAAATCGATATTAGAGTTTAAAACTTTAAAACTTAAACATGGTCTGCTTAAAATTTTGAATTCCTTTGAAGATATTTGAATACTTAATTCTCATCTTCGAAATTAAGTGCCGACTTTTGTCATCATTTTCCGCAAAATAAATTTGACCCCTGTGTTCAATAACACGGTATTTTCTCACTTTCCAATTTGGTCAGATTCTTTTAATCATATGCATTTTCTTTGCAAATGAAGGTTTTTCATTGGAAAATTTAACAGTTTTTCTTATTTATTATATTTTATGATAAATTGGAGTTCAAACTTGTGTATCGTTACTTTTGTTGACTAGTATATATATATATATATATATATATATATATATATATATATATAAGTGCCTATAAATAGCAGCACATGACATACAAATCTATGGGAGTGTGGATTAATCAGTACAGAGATTAATTCAATTACACAAATAAAATTATAGATTGCCTAACAATGTAATTTTAACACACTATTTAGTATGTAAATATAAGAATGTTTAAAATATTTACAAAATGATGAAAATAAACGCAATATTTCGCTAGACTAACTAGCTTTATCAAGCGTGCATCTATCCAGGTGAAATCGGATGTAGATGATAAGAAACTTTTGCAGCTCAATGTATATGTTGCACTTGAATTTAGCTGCCTTGAAAATAATACATAATTTGGATGAAGTTCAAGATTTTTACAAAATTGGTAGTTGAAGTTAGCAACGTCCATTGGCCAATATTACAGGATAAAAAGGACGATGCTGTGTACTAAATTATTCTTTATCTTTCCTGTATCTTTTCTCATCTTTTTCGTTAAGACCATCAGGTTCTAAAGTGTGGAGTTGGTGGATCCAAAAATTTTCTCTTCTCCTTCTCGCCGTGGTGTCCCACTCGGTGTTAAGCCTCAATCCTCTACCAAGCAATACTATACTTGCATCCATTATATATATATATAGTTTAGCGCGCCTGACATTATAGTAATAAAATTGAGATTGGAAATGGGGAATGTGTCAAAGAGACAACAACCCTACCAAAGAGCAGAAAAATCCGAAGGCCACCAATGGGTCTTCAACACAGAGAGAAAATCCCGCACCCGCAGGCGGGCTTCACAGCTGGCCCCTAAACAAAAATGTGTACTAGTTCAATGAAAATGGACGTCACACTAAACATATAAATGAACTAAAATTTTAAAAAAACATACAAGAATAACAAAAGCCAGAGGCTCCTGAATTGGGACAGGCGCAAAAATGCGGCGGGGTTAAACATGTTTTGTGAGATCTCAACCCTCCCCCTATACCTCTTGCCAATGTAGAATAAACAAACACACAGCAATACGCACAGTAAAACTCAGTTTAAAAGAAGTCCGAGTCTGATGTCAGAATAGGTAACAAAAGAAACTAAGCAAAATGGCAATGATACATAAATTAACAAAGGACTACTAGCAGTTACTGACATGCCAGCTCCAGACCTTAATTAAACTGATTGAAAGATTATGTCTTCATCATATGAAAATCAAGCACAATCCTTCCCGTTAGGGCTTTAGTATCATACCATCGTAAAATATATGAGAAGAACATAACCCGTTTCATGCCAACAACTGGTTTTAGAATAAAAGGTTTGGTTAGCTTTTGAGGTGAATGTCGACATTTTTGTGCTTTGTTTAGAATATTACCATGAAAGTAAAGATACATTTCTGAAAAGATAATCATTTAATTTAAAAAAAAATTATATTATATTGTTATCATTGTAGGTGTATATGATATGAAGAAACCGGAGGCTGAATTTTTTATTCTCCGATGTGTACGCTTCGTTACAGATGTGTTACTTTATACTGTACTATTCGTTGCGCCTTAGTAAAGCGAAATTTAGTATTATATGTAATAACATTTTCTTCACATGCAAAGAACAATTTGAATATTAAACACGGTCAATAACACGACCACCAGTCATACTATCTTCGTTGTAGTAAACTTGGAGATATATGAGAGCTTGAACAATATGTGAAGTTGCGTTACTGGCAATCGCTAGGAAATATTGTAGGTATCAGTCTGGCGGACGGACGGAAAGGTAGGATGTTTATTTCACGGTGTGCGGATAGATACACGGCTAATTTCATGGCATGTGCTTATCTGCCTTTTATTTTATGTTTACATTTAATTTATATTTTTACATGTCATTAAATGTTTACTTTCAAAATACTTGTTATGGAGAATTGGCGGATCCAACAGGGTGTTCCGGGGGGGGGGGGGATACTAAACCCCTATTCAAATTGGTTGGATCCACGCCTAATGGAGGCTGAAACAGAAGACGAATCAGTTGATTGAAAAAAAGGAGTGGTACACATTTACAGATATGATAGATGTAAATGGCAGTACGATCTTAAAGTCCCATAAAATTGTCAAAATCAAAAAAACCATCAAGAGAGGGTTACAGCAACTAACATTACAACAAGACATATATGTCATGTATTTGTAGGTTTTTATCAGAATCAAGGTTATTTGTTTGTATCAGGGAAGAACTAACACTGATTTTTAAATATAAATGTTGTACGTGTGGTGATTTATTTCATTGGTTGTGGGACATCTAAGAGACATAATAATATCATAATATGTTTACACAAAGATATACTTCGCCTATATGCAGTTTTGATAGTATAATGTTAATGTTGAAGTTTAGATGGCAACACTAACATGTAAACTGCGCAAAACTTCCAACGTCAATAAGCAATTACAAAAGGTGCAAGGCAAACTAAAATAGAAATAAAAAATAAGATATGTCATTGCCATACCAACTGCATACGAAATAGCAATGACTTATCAAACGTGGTTCTGTGTCAAATTACTTAATCGCATTCCTTCACGTCCAAACTATACAAACGCTTCAAAGTAAATTAACCATAACGAGGGCTATATTATCTCCTTGGAAATGAGATGTTCTAATACTAATACAGCTGCAAACAAAATATTATTGACTTACCACTAGTGGTTTTCCTTAAGCTGACCTAATTACACACTTTGATATATATATAAACTAAGCAAAAGTTTCAGTCAGGAGACCATGTCTGCAGGGACAAAAATCCCCATGAAAATGCGATGTGCTAATTTTAATACTACTAGTAACCAATATCATTGACCTACCATAAGTGCATGATAGACCTTAGTTCTGTATTTGCGTAATAATTCTAAATTATAAAATAATAATCAAGTAAAATCTTGTCCTTTATAAAATACAGCCCATACAAAGTTTAACGAAAAT